TAAATGTTTCTTGAACAGCAAATCAGCATATCAGAATGATTTCTGAAGGATCACATGACGCTGAAGATTGGAGTAATGATGTTGAAAATTCAACATTGTATCACATGAATAAATTACATTTTAAAATATATTCAAATAGAAAAAAGTTATTTTAAATTGTAATAATTTCACAGTATTACTGTATTTTTATTAAAACAGTAGTGTATGTATTAACAGAAAATGTTGAAAACCCTTTTAGCAGTATGTAATGTTTTTCATTATATGTTTTCATATTCTAAATGTGATAATAAATGGCTGACTGCACAATATCCTTTGAATGTGTGATATTAATTCAGATAGCTGACCTGTATGATGTGTTCTTCAGTTCACTGATGACTTGTGTTAGCTGTGAATGGGTCCTGGATGCATATATGATCTTGGGGATGTCTGTGTAATAAGCTAAAATATTAAGGAAAAACAAAACTCACGATTATGACACTTGTGTTTTGAAGTACAACTCCTAAGACTGTCCAGCATGTAAACTGTCAAAGGAATTTAGTTTATAAGTCATATCAGTGTAAGGACAATACTTGGAGTGTCTCCGTCGGTGGCTGCTGTTCCCCATGATGACATCTGTCTGTCGGGGAAGAGCTCCGCACCTCCCATTCTCTCTGCTATCTTGCGGGCAGAGATGGTGTCTTTGAAGTGCTCTCTCCACCCCAGCGCTGAACACAGCAGACAGAGCGTTTTACCTGTGCCAGTGGGACTTTCAAGAACTCCATTCACTTTCTGAAAGAGTACAAGGGCATGTCATACCATTAATAGGCAATGAATGGAACAATGTGATCTTACAGGAAGACTTTAAAACCTTTATTGCATTAGATTAAATTGTACTGCCTTCATATTATACATGAATCAAAGGGTAAGTAAAACAAAAATGTCATTCCACCTGCAGCACAATGTCATTCAGAGACATTTACAATTGTATTTTACCTCTAATGGAAAAAAAAGTTATTTAACTTTTCGAAAACAACAAAAAGTGGCACTTTTCTCTTTGTTAAGAAGACTATAATGTGATGTTGTACAATTTCAACTCTGTTCTATCTTTAAAGCCCCTTAACACTTGTGCATAATTCATTTTGGTTGTGTTAATGCAAACAGCATAAAATGTGTATTTTTATTGGAATTCTAATATTTCATATTTTACACTTACTCAGGATCTACCATTCAATCTGCAATATTTAATCCTAGTGCGACTGAAGCATAAAAGTATGCATTCTTTGTTAATAGGCTTTCAATCTTTTGGCAGGGCTACAACATATTTACTTTTTTTTTTTTTACTATTTTCCACCTGATGAAACCATTTTCTCAGGTTCTCTGGCCTGTAAAGAATAGCCTCACTTTTTACCTGTTTCCTGCTTCTGCTGGGAGAAAAAAAAAATAATTTATGTAATTATAATTCTGTGGATGCCGGAGTGTGGTTTGCATGTGTCTACTGAGAAAAGTGTGTATGAATTGTAGTTTTTTTTTTGTTTTTTTTAAATAAATCTGACACTGCACAAAAATAATAATGCATTAAAATATATGTTGCTGCTAATCACTAACATATACACAGCTGTAATAATCCAAAAGTAAATCTACTTAGCATTTAGTATGACAACAGTGCCATTATGTAAACAAACTGCCATTTACCGTGTCAAAATATTGAAAAGAAATGATTTTTTGTTAGTTATGATCAAGACGAATGTTGGTAACAAGATCCATATCAAAGCGGGAAAAAAAAATACTAATATATTTTTATGACCGTTTTTGACATGGACATTTTTGTCCTCTAAGGACCTCTGTGTAACTTTTTAAACTGACGCACAGGGGTTAATCTTAAAGTAGTTGGCAAGTCAAAGCAAAGGGTATTTCAATGTCTATCAAGACTGTAAATGTAGCTGGGATTGTATACACTATATGGACAAAACAAAAGTAAAGTGTTCTAATGAACAGGTTTGACTACTTTAGTCATTTCCATGAGTACAAATCTTGATGTTAAAGCTTATAATGATATTCTGGGGAATTGTGATTCTAATTTTATAGCAACAGTTTGGACAGGACCCTTTTCTATTCTAGTCATTGGTGTTTGGTGATGAGCTTTTGGCTCAGTGTCTGCATTTAAAGTCACACCAGAGGTGTTCAGCTGGGTTTCTGCAGACCAGTCAAGTTCTTCCACACTGACTGAATCAATCATTTCTTTTTTAACCTTGCCTTATACACAGAGGCATTGTCATGTTAAAATAGAAAAGGGTCCTGTCCAAACTGTTGCTATAAAATTAGAAGCACACAATTCCCTAGAATATCATTATATGCTTGAACATTAAGATTTGTACTCATGGAAATTACTAAAGCGGTCAAACCTGTTCATTAGAAGGGGGTGTCCCAATACTATTGTTACTACTTGTGTACGTTCTTACATTCTGCAGGCACTCGATGACTTTGCTCATGTAGTCCTCCTGGCACGGGTATGGAGTGAAGGGAAAGTCCACAGTGACTCCTCTGAGCTTAATAAGAGGCATTCTCCTCCAAAACACCAGTCACATGTAAAGAGCTGCACCAAGCACTATAATAGTCGCCCACTCTTAACTGTAACCCCAGAGACAAGCACAATCCCTTAACAACGCCCGAAGAAATAATTAATTCTGGTCGGCTGGGGTACAATGAAACACAACAACATGAAATGCATGCACTAAATTGACATCTTAACAAAGTAAAGTCAACTCCAGGAACGCGCCATTTGTTTTTCTTCTTCTTCTTCTTCTTTTCCGCTTTACATGTAGACTCGGGCCGACCTCATTGTGATGCTGCCTCCTGCAGGCCGCGTGGAGAAGCGCAGCCAGTAACTCACAATAGTGCCTCTGTAGAAAATGCGATAATCCAATATTAGAAGATGTAACTTAATATATAGCCTTCATTTAAATAAAAAAAGTATTAAAAATTATGGTAATGTTACTGTAATTGTTTGGGTGCTGTGTTGTTTACACATTTGTCACACATAATTATTTTTCAAAATTTCTCATAACAACTAAAAATGAAGAAATTGGTATATATAAAGAAACATATGGCCATAAAAATATGACTTCTTAAAAAATGAAATTATTTAGCATCTACTAAAATAAAAACTGAAAAAAATCACTTAATCTGGGATAACATTATGATAAATATTAACAAATAAATAAATTAATAACAATCATTTTCCATTCAAATTCCATTTGGCTGTTATCATGTGTATTGTATTTTTAAAATCCATAAACCAACTAGAATAGGGTTTATTCAGAATGTTTTCATGTTTGTAAGTGGTTGGTTGTTGCTATCGTTAAATAAAAGTTTAGACAATTTTAAGGGATCAGAAAAGAGAAGAAAAATGGAATTCAAATAGTGGGGGGAAAAAATGCATTGCAATGTTTACAGAAACATCTGTTACTAGATTTAACAAAGTGACAAAAACATGTGCGTGTGAAACTAGTCTACACTCCCACCATAAACATTGCCAGAAAATATGAAGTGTTGCTTCCTTCCCAGCATTGTAAGGCAGAGGCATCTTCTGCAGTGCATACAATTATTTTGATTTGAAAGCAAAGAAGGGTTTCTCATCACCAGTGCCCAGATCAAACCAATTTAATGCTGTTTCCTGCATTTGGCTGAAATGTTTTCTATATACTTCCCTGTATTCAGGTCTGAATATTCTGGATCACTTCTCTCTTTCTGAGATCTCGGGCTCTTGAGTGTCTAGTGTCCCCATAAGAGCTTCATGGGAGCGAGGTGGCTGTCAGCTCCTAAGCAGCAACTAAAGGACTTTGTGAAGACCACAGTGGCAGAACAAAAACTGGACCTCATTTGAACAGAGTTAATATGGAATTCAAACACAAGATTTGTTTCAATTTTAAAAATCTCTGCCTACGGTTAATAATAGATGCTATTTTCGTAACGATTTACTGTATGTAAAAGTAACCAGTGTTGGGGGTAACGCATTACAAGTAACGCGAGTTACATAATCAGATTACTTTTTTCAAGTAACTAGTAAAGTAACGCATTACTTTTTAATTTACAAGAGAATATCTGAGTACATTTTTCAAATAAGTAACGCAAGTTACTTTTTTTTTTCCAATTTATTGATTGACAGCTCTCCTGTCCCCATGTTGAGAGAAATCAGAAGATGTTACTGTAGTTCTAAAATAAATATGAATATGCATAAAAATAATGCAACTCAGAATATGACGCAAACCTGCAATAATTAAATGTTAAACAACACATATCCTTTATGTATTTAATCCCATTCTATTAACCAATGTTTTTGCTTCTGACCTTCGATGATCCAGTTCAACCATACTAATAAGCACAAATTACTCTAGACAAACATTTGTGTGCATTCTACTGTACGGACGTAAATTTACTTTCCCTTCAGCCTGAGGCTTATTCATTTCACTTTTGGTGTGAAAAGGCTTTTATATTTGCCAAAAATATAACTTTTTTATTTTAAAAACAAACAAGCAAGCCCTGTTCAGATGTTAAAAGTAACGCAAAAGTAACGTAACGCCTTACTTTCCATAAAAAGTAACTAAGTACCATAATTAGTTACTTTTTTGATGAAGTAACGCAATATTGTAATGCATTACTTTTAAAAGTAACTTTCCCCAACACTGAAAGTAACATTTATTTATATACACACATAATAAAAGGATTATAGGCTACCTGAAGAGTAACGTGTGCGATTTAATCCTAAAGCACGTCGAAATAAAACGACAATTTAATTAATAGCAGAAACAGTACATTTTTATAGTTAAAAATAAAATTACAAAGCATTTGAATACATAATAAATATGTTTGACTTGAGTTTTATAATATGCAGCCTCCGGTTTTTCAGGCAAATGCTACTCTTTTCACTTCTCGGTGTTGCGTCACAACATGGCGACGCGCTCAGACGCCAGGCACGAAAACACTGAAAACACACAGGTACTGTACCTCAACCTGCTCGCTGTTGAACATTTCTTTTAAATATAACATCATTAACACATCTAACGCCACGGAAGACTTGTTATACACCCACGAAGGGAACCTGTCGCCGTAAAGGCGTGTTATTTACGAAGGAAGTAGCTTTAGCCCGCTAAGCAACTTACAAGAGCACTTCAACTCTCTTTATCCAAATATCAAGGCTAAACATCGGGATCTACAACCCGTTTCAGATTTACATGTGATCTGTTTTATTTCTAGCGCTGACATAAAAGTGAGGGTAAGGATTTTGAAATAGATTTAAGATGATAAAAGTGTTAAATACACGTGTATGTGTGTGTTGAACAAGGTGAATGCGGGGTTAGCCCGAGGTTTACAGCTTTATCACTTTACAGACTTAACGACAAGATGATTTTTGGGCTTACTATTTTATCTGAGCTGTGATATGCTTCATAAATAGCCCCTTTAAACGTTTAACCCAGGGAAACTGATCAATATGAGGCTCATTTGTGGGTTTAATTTATCATGTGATTAAACATAAGAATTATTTCGCGTTATATACGTCTGTCAGGAAACTAAGTATGCTTGGATATATATTTTAGTTATTCTATATTGATACGTTTGTAGTGTATGCTGACGCATTTACTTTTGCACAGATTATTAGTTGACACGTGCTTTGAATAAATACCTCAGTGGTCTCATTTGTTCATGTCTTAACCCGTTCCCTCTCACTCATTTGCTCGTGTTGATTTTAATGCAACTCTCTGACTGTGCCTCTAAACTTTGTGAGCTTCGTGCCTAGACAGCATTTTAAACGTGTATGGTGCCCAAAAATGCTGCCTAGGTAGAGAGCTAGCTGGGATTTGAGACTCAGCTTCTGTTTCGCGTGTGGCTGCTCTTAATGCAGCACTGCTCAGTTCTGTCTTTCCGTGTATAGTGAGTTTTCTGTGTTTGCAGTAAATATCTAGAACTAAAGCAGGTGTCCTTGTATTGGTTATGACACATGCCACCTAAATGCAGGGTTTAATGTCACTGTCAAAACTATACAGACTCAGCTTGGATAACTTAAACTCGTCTCCTTTGACGGTTTTTGTGTTTGCATCATCAGGGCACTGAAGTCATGGAGGAAATCATGGGGGTCTGTGGTCTAGAAGCCAGAGGACTTGTTGAAGGGAGCAGTTCACCTCTGGATGTTGAGACCCCATCCCAGGATAATGTGGAGGATTTCGCGGGGCTGGTGAGCAGTGAGGAGGAGAGAGGGGAGACGCCAGGAAGGGAGGGTAGTAACCCTGACCCCCTCGATGGGGAGTTGGACCCTAATGCTGAGAAAACCAAGGACCAAAAAGCATTTGGTTAGTGTTCGCCATTAACGGAATGTTTCGGGTTCAATATAAGAAATAAACAGAGCCCTGTATTCAAGAGATAGTTATACAAAAAAAGAACATTCTGTCATCATTTACTCACGCTCAAGATGTTCCAAACCTGTATGAGTTTTTTTCTTCGGCTGAACACAGAAGAAGATATTTTGAAGAATGTGGGTAACCAAACAGTTTCTGGTCCCCATTGACTTCCATAGTATTTTCTTCCATACTATGGAAGTCAGTGGGGACCAACAACTGTTCGGTTTAGGAATCAAGTTTGAGGGTGAGTAAATAACAACAGAATTTTCTTTGTTATTTACAAAGAATGTGGGTTTTTTTTTACATTGTGATAGGATGACTCGTTTGTCAATAACAAGTTATTCTATGCATAATTCTTCTTTTGTTGTCGTAGGCAAAGAGGTTTTGTTGCTGATGCAGGCGCTTCATACTTTAGCCACCCCAGAAGAAAAACTCGCTGCCCTTTGTAAGAAATATGCAGACCTGGTATGTATTTGAGGCTAGAGAAATGACATTGAACAACAATTGATATTACACTTTATATTTAATTTCCTTACAGAGAGAGTTCACAAAAAAATTGCAATCCAAGCTTGTATGATTTATATGGAGAATTTACTCCAAGCTACTCTTTTTCCATACAAAGTATTATACAACACCTGTGGTATGAAATACTAATAGTCATGCACTGAAATTAATGAATCTGTTGCGCAATTTTTGCTCCGCTTTGCTGATGTTTACCTATTGTGGCTTGTCCATATTGTGTACATGAATCAGTTAAAACGTCTCATCAGAGAAGCGTTAATTAAATGTCACTGTTTCACTTGGAGCTGCACGATGAATCGTATTTTAATCGTGATGACGAATTCTGCTTCTGTTGATTTATTTAGCATAATCATCTGCGATATTTGCCCACTGGTTATTTATCCAGAAAATGTTTCATTGTAATTTGGCATTTTTGATATTTTGCATTGGTAACAAGCCTCCACAAACTTTTAATGGTTGCAGGTTTTTTTTTTTTTTTTCCCTTCATGAATCGATACATTTTCTGCCCAGTGGTTTACTTAATCTTCCCAACCTGGCAACACGTTCACTGTATATTATGGAAAAATATAATATATTATATTGTCATAGCACTTGCGTATCGTTTCCTCATTTGTAAGTCGCTTTGGATAAAAGCGTCTGCTAAATGACTAAATGTAAATGGAAAAAATGCTGATGAGTTGAAAAACATAAGTTGGAGTTTAGCGATCTCTATTGAGATATTCTACTCAAATAGGTGTAATACAGCCAGTTTGTTTTTGTTTGCGCGGTTTTCTGCGACTAAATCTGCAAGCAAACGATGTATGTGAAAGTGCAGTAATTTTGATGAAATGTAAAAAAAAATACAATTAAATAACATTAATTACAATAATTGTTTAGCTATTATTGTGCAAACCCTAGTTTTGGTCTATGATTTTGGCCCTCCGAAACCAAAAAATTAATTTTTTATTTTTTTTTGTGTTATTTCAGCAGGGGAAATTTCAGTGCATCACTAAATACTAATGTGTAATTCTTCCTGGGACAGCTGGAGGAGAGTCGCAGCATGCAAAAGCAGGTGAAAGTGTTGCAGAAGAAGCAGAACCAGGTGCTTAAAGAGAAGATCCACCTGCAGAGCGAGCACAGCAAGGCCGTCCTGGCACGCAGCAAACTGGAGAGTCTTTGCAGGGAACTTCAGCGCCATAACAAGACCTTAAAGGTAAAGCCACCGCAGCTCATGCACATCCGGGATCTGATTTGAAGATTCGGCCTTAGTTTAACCAGGTAACTGTTGTGATGGCAGGAGGAGAATGCTCAGAGGTCCAGGGAGTACGAAGAGCAGCGCAAGGAGGCGACGCTGCACTTCCAGATGACACTCAACGAGATTGAGGCCCAGATGGAGCAGCACAACTTGCACAACAGCAAGCTGCGGCAGGAGAACGTGGAGCTGGCTGAGAAACTCAAGAAGCTCATCGAGCAGTACGAGCTCCGGGAGGAGGTGAGGCAACATCTGTCCAATATGCAAACTGGCTGTTATGCTCCGGTTGAGAATTGTGAGATGCAGAGATTGCGTTTGTTGTATACTCTGTAAACGTCGAGATTATATATGATTTTTTGTAGTCATGGTAGACAAGAATATTTCTGCTGTTTCATTACATGGTTTTGCATTTTATTTGCTTAATTCTAAATGTGTTCCTCAGGCATGCAGGGTATTTTGCATGTTGAGCTCATTTTATATGTGCAACCTCAAATGAAACCATTATGACTAATCACATGAATATATGCATACATACACTACTGGTCAAAAGTTTGGAATAACTTCTATTTTGAATATATTTTAAAATGTAATTTATTCCTGTGATGCAAAGCTGAATTTTCAGCATCATTACTCCAGTCTTCAGTGTCACATGATCCTTCAGAAATCATTCTAATATGCTGATTTGCGGCTCAAGAAAGATTTCATATTATTATCAATGTTGAAAACAGTTGTGCTGCTTCATATTTTCTTCTTTTTCAGCAAAGGTGCATTACACTGATCATACGTTACATTTGTAATGTTACAAAATATTTTTTTTTATTCCAAGTAATATTTTCTATGGTTTTAGTTAAATAACTAATAACAGCAGCATAACACGCTGTTTTTGTACAGCTACAATAATTGGAAGTGAATGACACTGGAAGCCTCACACATTAAAGTTCAAATTGACAAGCTAAAAGTTAAAAATAAGGTTAAGGAAATGTTGCAATTTTCCAAGCAATTGCTCTTTTGAAGAATACTGTGAACGTGACATTTATCTTTACCCAGCACATTGACAGGGTGTTCAAACACAAGGAACTGCAACAGCAGCTGGTGGACGCTAAACTCCAGAGGACGGCTGAGCTGATACGAGAGGTGGAGGAGAAACAGCAAAGAGAAAGAGAGTTTGTGAGTATCCTTGTCACAATCCTAATCCTGTTTCTGAGCCTGTTACTAATCCTGAAGGATTGGCACCTGCAACCAAGCAGATCTATAATAAGTGGATTAAGCATTCCCATTTATCACAATGGAATGGAAGTTGCTTGCTGGTGTGAGACCTTCTGAAGTATGAGATTTGAAATCTGCCATCTTTGCTCACTGGCACTCAGTTCTGCAGCAAGCTTGATTTGAGCCAATCACCTGTGCTGTAAATGCCATGTGACTAATCGCTCCTGGAGCTGCAGGAAAATTATGTCACCTGAAAATTCCAAAAGTTGTTCTGTGTTCTCTGTTCAGCTCCTGAAGGACGCGACTGAGTCCAGACATAAATGTGCGCTGATGAAAGAGCAGGAGCATCAGTTAAAGGAGCAGCTCACTCTGTACATGGACAAGTTTGAGGAGTTTCAGACCACCCTCTCCAAGAGCAACGAGGTCTTCACCACTTTCCGACAGGAGATGGAGAAAGTGAGTGTGCAGGAAGTGTGTTCAACAGAAGTCTCTCGTGCTCACCAAGGCTGCATTTATTTGAGCAAAAATAGAGTAATATTGTGAAATATTATTACAATTTAAAATAACTGTTTTCCATTTTAATACACTTTACATTTACATTTAGGCATTTAGCAGACGCTTTTATCCAAAGCGACTTACAAATGAGGACAATGGAAGCAATCAAAATCAACAAAA